CATGCGAAAAGGTTCTAAGCAGAATATAAGTGTGCATGATTGTACTGCTCTTGGAATAGCATATTTGTTAAATAGTTATGTGTATACGATAACTATTGACCGTATAAAAATACCATGAAGACAAGAAAAACTTGTTTGACAGATAGGTGATTGATGAGGTAATTAAGGAAGCTTGAGCATGTAGAAGGCGGGACATTTGTAATGTAGATGACATGGTATCAATTATTATCATTATTTCGTTTTCATGCAATTCAAACAGTACAGCTTATAGGCATATAATGTATCGCAAAGTAGAAGTGACAGATGTCGGAGTTCAAGTTGTTGGAAAGATAAAAAAGGCAAAAGAAATTCAAACGGAATTGTCATTCCCTGAATGTAAAAATGTTGGAACGCAATGCATTGAACACGAAGGAAGCTACCAGCGTAAAAAATGCGACAAAAATGGTTACTGGACTTATGACAAATTGAAGGACGAAGTACTCTCAAACAACAATAGCGTGCTAAGTTGGCTTATGGAGAGGAAACTGATTGCGAACAGTAGGTTGTGCCCTCAATGTGATGGTGAGATGAAATTGGTTGAGTGCAATGATAGGTCAGATGGTTGTAAGTGGGAATGTAGAAAACAGTTGAATAGTAAAAGACATAAGGTTGAGTTGTCAATTCGGAAAGGTAGTTGGTTTGAGAGAAGTAATTTAACGTTGGAAGAAATTTTAAAGTTGACGTACTGGTGGTGTAGAGGCGTTGAACAGGAAATGATGAGGTTTGAAGTTGATGTTAGTGGAAATACGGTCGTTGATTGGGATAGCTTTTGTAGGGAAATCTGTGAGGTAAATTATTTAGAGTGTGAGGAAAAAATTGGTGGTCCAAATAAGAGGGTGCAAATAGACGAAAGTAAATTTGGAAAACGCAAATATCACAGAGGTCATAGGGTAGAAGGGCAATGGGTGTTTGGCGGTATAGAGGAGGAAAGTCGGAAAAGTTTTATGTTCGCGGTTGATGACAGAAGCGAAGCGACGCTACTGCCAATCATCGAAACCTTCATAGAAAAGGGCACAACCATAATATCTGATTGTTGGAAAGCCCATACTAATCTCGAGAAACATGGTTACAAGCATTCGCTTGTAAATCACTCAAAGGAATTTGTGAACAAGGATGGTGACCACACCAACAAAATCGAAGGACATTGGCGTCAGGCGAAGGCAAAATTACCAGCATTTGGCATACGCAAGTATATGTTTTCGTCATATTTAGCTGAGTTTTTGTGGAGATATGAACACAAAGGTGAAGACTTATTTGAGGTTTTCTTAAAGGATGCAATGAAAATATACGGACAGTTTTAAAAGCGAAACAATGTTTGTGGTTTGAGAAAGCAAAATGACTATGAGGTGGCAAAAACATTGTAATTGTGTATGAATAAGTAGCAAAAATAGAAGTGTGTTATCTAGACATGCATATTGTATAATAATTAATGTATAATTTGTGTAGGTTTACAAGTTATAAAGTTTGAGTGCTATAGCTGAGTGTATGCATGTTTATGCGCTAGATATGAATTAATATATGCATGCATCAGTGGTGCATCGTTTATTTGTGTGCGTATTAAAAAATACAATAACAGGTGCATGATGTAATTTTTGTATGGTAGTATTTTGAATTTTGATAGTGTTTGGTTTGGGGGGATTTCTGTGCAGGTTTATTGAGAACGAGAAATACAATATACTGATGTCTGATGAGTAATATTTTTTGCGGGGTTTATTGAGAACGAAAAATACAATATACTGTATGAGTCGAGTAATATTATTCAACTGATATATCAGTAATATTTTGTGCGGGGCAGTTTATTGAGAACGAGAAATACAATATACTGATGAGTAATATTTTGTGCGGGGGTTTATTGAGAACGTGAGAAATACAATATACGAGTAATATTTTGTGCGGGGTTTATTAAGAACGAGAAATACAATATACGAGTAAAAATGCTGTGCTGAGTGGTTATATTACTACCTTAAAAAATAAGCAGAAACTCGACGTTTCGCTCGAAACGTCGAGTTTCTGCTTATTTTTTAAGGTAGTAATATAATCACTCAGCACAGCATTTTCACATTGGTACTACCCACACTGGTACAGACAGTTTTAATATATGAGTAATATTTTGTGCGGGGTTTATTAAGAACGAGAAATACAATATATGAGTATTAAATATTTTGTGCGGGGTTTTATTGAGAACGTGAGAAATACAATATACGAGTAATATTTTGTGCGGGGTTTATTAAGAACGAGAAATACAATATATGAGTAATATTTTGTGCGGGTTTATTGAGAACGAGAAATACAATATATGAGTAATATTTTGTCCGGTGTTTATTAATATAGAATATAGAGAAATACAATATATGAGTAATATTTTGTGCGGGGTTTATTGAGAACGAGAAATACAATATATGAGTAATATTTTGTCCGGTGTTTATTAATATAGAATATAGAGAAATACAATATATGAGTAATATTTTGTGCGGGGTTTATTGAGAACGAGAAATACAATATATGAGTAATATTTTGTCCGGTGTTTATTAAGTATTTAAGAACGAGAAATGTAATATATTTATAACCCCTTATTATTGAAAATAGAATATAGATTAATTATTTGATTAACGATTCCCCGTTTATTTAAATACCGAAACACTCGAATAATTACGTAATTTCCTTCACTGCGTATCACCGTATCCCCGTATCATTGAAACTTAATATTTACCCAGTCCCTTTATTTAAAAAACCCAAACACTCGAATAATTACGTCATTTCATGATTCACTGCGTATCACCGTATCCCCCCAAAATAAACAGTATCAGAAGTGGACGGGTATTCTATAATCTAGCCCTCTCAACACTCGCCAGATTTTGATCGGCACAATTCTCACACGAACACCTACAACAGAAATAAATAATATGGCAAATATCAGGGAAATATTGCATGAAAATCATAATAAAGTAACTTAGTATTGTTTGTAGAACTCACCAATTTGCTAATGGAATATTTTTTCTAAACGCTTCTCCAAAACAGATGGCAAAATGTAATCTTCGTCCTGTTCCTCATCAGAAGATTCGCTGTCGTCTGTACTGGCAATAGTTCCCCTTGATACGGCTCAAAACAATTCGTTACGTTCATATTTCCTTTTAAATTGCTCTCCGTTATGTTATCAGACTCTAAGCTAGGGTAACTAAGAGAATCTTCGCTGTGCGACATAGTAAAAGAGTAGAAATCACGATAAAATATTTTATACAGCGCGATAATACAAATGTTCTTTACTGTTTATATTGAGAATGTCAACATGTGTGTACAACCCAGTGAAATGAATATAACTGGAACGCTACCTTCAACCGGAAGCTTGATGCTCAATTATGCAAGTCACCCCCAGTCTTTCCACGTAAAAACAAACACGGCCAAACAAAATATTTTTATGCGATTTCGTCTGATCGGGTCGAAACTCATAAAAAAAACTCGTTTTAGGGAGATAAGAACTAATTTTGTCACTACCTTCGGCTAGTTTAAACATTCTTGATTAATAGACTGCATTTTTTTAATACTTTGTATGGAAATGCTGAACAAAACGGTTCTTTGTTAGGAAAAAACATTGCGCCCAGGCGTGAAGTTTTCATTTACCATGTTGGGAGATTTTTTTTCTATAATTGATGCATTTTTTGTGCAATCTAGTCACTTAGGAATGGGAATGAAGCAAACATAAACTTATAATATAAAATAGTGTCAGTATCAAGTGTATTTTGTGATGAAATTTTAGCTTTTAGGAGTGCTCAAAACATTGAAGTTTCTCCTCTACCCAGTCCTTTTTTAATTTATTGCGCATATTTACTGTAGTTGTTTAGTAAAAAATATTTAAAGGGAAGAAAAAAACTGCGAAATTAAAGGAAAAATTGATATTTTTGTGACAGTGTTAGTGAGTAAAAATCATGCCACTTAACTGTGTTATACTTGGGTGTACAAACAGGGGTATTCCTCATCATGGACAAAATGCTACTGTAGCTTTTCACAGGTAATGACAATTACTTCCTTACTTTAACAAGATAAAAAAACAACACATGGAAAGGATATCTTAATATTTAATAAAACAGATTAAAATTACACTTCTTGTACTGAAATCTACAAGCATATATTTCTACATACTACTTTATCACCATTTTTGGCTATCATTGCTTTTACAATGACAACAGGGTCTATATTAAATTTTTTTGTGTGCGGTGTAATGTACTCAGGTGAATATGATGCTTGTGATGTTAATCTGAGTGTATATCCACACTGGCCAAGCTTGAAAAAATATGCCTGGGCTAGTATTCCAAAGGTCGTAGGTTCTTTCCCACCATGGCCAGGCATATTTTTCAAGCTTGACCAGTGTGGATATACACTCAGAGTAACATCACAAGCATCAGGGTCTTATATTGTTGCATCTTTGCCCGCACAGACAAGCAATTTTTTCTTGACAAGATTTCCTGGTTCAAAATTTGGCATGACCATGTTTTGAACCAGGCTCCTTGTCAAGGAAAACTTGTCATTTTTTTCACATACACACAAGCAAATCTAATGTGTCAAGGAAAAATTACTTGTCTGTACGAGGCTTAAGTGTAACCCTTACATGTTGAAAACCACAGCACAAACCATGTAAGACAAGAGTCATCTTTTCAGTACCAATAAAGCCAAATTGGCTGCTCACAATATATGTATGTTGTAAACTATTATAGATTTCCAATGAAAGATAAGCATGCTTTAGAGCAGTGGGAGCATTTTGTTCAAGAAGCCAATAGGCCCAATATACTTAAAGAACCATGGAGGGCAACCAGTACTAGCCGTCTTTGTAGCGACCACTTCCAAGTAACAGATTACATCACCCCTCCTTCAGTGAATGGGTCATGTCGACTAAAAAAGTATGTCATACCATCAAAGTCCCATGACACGGCAACCATGTTGTATACGATACCCAACAAAACAAGATGCAGGCTGGACCTGTCGAACAAGAGACCAATCCCCCCAACTGATTTGGAAAACCTCTCGCCTCCAGAAAAAATCGCCAAAACTGTATCTACAGAAGAAAAAAGAGATGAGTTACAAACAAAACTTAGACAAAAAATTCGCAACTTACAACAGCAATTACGAAGGTCAAAACAGAAAGTCAAAACTATGAACGAAGCCATCAAAGTGTTGGAAGAAAGATCACTGATAACTTCAAAAGAAGCAGAAAGTCTGCAATCAACATTTGAAAATAAACATCTTCAATTTCTATATAATTTCAAAAACTTAAAGGCATCACCATCAGGAAGGAGATATTCGGATGAAATAAAAGAGTTTGCTGTGACTTTATACTTTTACTCACCGAAAGCATACAAATATGTTAGATCCATTATCCCATTGCCAAACCAATCTTTGATACGAAAATGGTCAACTTCGTTTAAATGTGACCCAGGCTTCATAGAAGAAGCATTCACATCCCTGTCTGATTTAATCTCTGGTTCACCAATTAACAAGGACTGCTGTTTGGTAATCGATGCAATGTCCATTCGTAAGCAGACACTCTGGGATGCTGAAAAAGATCGGTACTCAGGATTTGTTGATCTTGGTGATGAAATTCATAATGATAAGTCAGCAACACTGGCTTCTGAGGCATTAGTTTTTCTGTTGGTCGGAACAAGAAGTCATTGGAAATGTCCCATCGGATACTTTTTAGGAGATAAAATCAGCGCCAAAGACCAGGCAAAATTAGTATCGAAATCATTGGAAATGGCAGCAAAGGCTGGACTAAAGGTATGGTCGGTGACAGCGGATGGCACAGCAGTCAACCTTAGAACATTTGAAATTCTCGGTTGTAGTTTTAATGGCAGTTACGATGAGATGACCACTTCAATTATTCATCCAACTACTGGTGAAGATGTTTTTATCATTCTTGACCCCTGCCACATGCTTAAACTTGCTCGTAATGCTTTGGCACACCTCGGGACCATTGTTGATGGTGAGGGAAATGTGATAAGGTGGCACCACATTGAGGAACTTCAAAAGTTACAAGAAGTGGAAGGACTGAATCTGGGTAACAAACTTTCCCCAAATCACCTGAAATTTCAAAAACACAAAATGAATGTTAGACTAGCAGCGCAAACATTAAGTTCTTCAGTGGCTAATGCTGTAGAATTCCTGGACAAATCAATGAAGTTGTCCAGTTTTCACGATAGTCATGGTACAGTTATATTTATCCGCACAATCGACCGGTTATTTGACATGCTGAATTCTCGTAACCCAATCGCTAAAGGTTTCAAGACACCCCTTCATCCGAAAACCAAGGACACATGGGAAGAAATCTTAATGTCAACAGCAGACTATCTACTGTCGTTGAAAACAAGTGCACCTACAGGTCAACTACTTTCCACCTCGCAACGTAAAACATTTGTAATTGGGTTTGTGGCATGTATCAAATCTACAATTTCCATGGCTACACAAATGTTTAGTTTACCCACCAATCCTTTCAAGTACTTATTAACTTACAAATTCTCACAGGACCACATCGAACTTCTTTTTTCATGCATACGCTCAAGAGGAGGCTGGAATAACAACCCTAACGTTTTACAGTTCAAGTATGCAATTCGAAAGATGTTGATGCGAAATGCCATTACAGCATCGAAATATGCCAACTGTGTGGATTTTACAGGATGTAATAACATTATCCCCATATTCCATACAAGAAAGCACAAAAAGTCAACCACCTACGAAAATATTGTGGAAGCCTCTGCCTCCAACAATGACTCAAGTGACATATTTTCTATGTGTGAACATTTAAACGAAGAAGGGCATAGTGAATTTACCTCGAATGTTCTGTTTTACATCGCAGGGTACATTGTTTCCAAACTTATGAAAACCTTAGTTTGTCCAGCATGCAAAAAGAGCCTTCTTCCTCTGCCAAAACAATTGCCTGCAAACGGACATGACTATACTTCAACCATATATCATGAAGCAGGAAAGGCATCGTCATTTACCACATTTGTCAATAGGGGTGGTTTGCAGATCCCATCAACATCTGTGTTTCGAACGGTCGAATACTGCGAGCACGTTTTCAAAGCTACTGTTACGGGTAAAGACGGCAAACAAATAAGCAACGAGGGAAACCTAAAGAAAAAAATGATCGTGAACGTCTTCCAACATTTCACATTGGACTCAACATCTGAGCTGTTCACAGACCATGAAGATGATGACAACGAAATTCTAGTTGACGACCACAAAACAAATTTAATGAAACGTGTCGCGGACAAATATTTTACGTTGCGGCTGTTCAGCTTTGGAAAGAAATACGTCAAAGAGATCGTAAATGAAGGGAAACAAAGTGATCGACACTTGTTTAACAAAATTACTTTGTTTAATAATTATTAGGTTTGTAATACTAAGTTAAAATAAAGAATTTACTCACTTGTTTTGATAAAATCTTCAAAGGGTCTGACGCTCGTACAAATAATTTGGCGGATTTGCACATCGCCAAGTTGTTTCGTTTATAGCGTTTGTTTCCTAGCCGATTGGCAACTCCATTCGGCTAAATTTTACTTGGTTGAGCTAAAATTAATTCCATTATAGTCCAAACAAAAAAAACTAAAATTTAAAACCATAAAATATACAACAAATTTCTTGCAAATTCGCTCTGCTCGCACATTGTTGTTCTTCTGAATACAAACAGCACGCTTCACCCCCCACCGCGATCTCGCGAGGGAATCGCGAATGAAGCCAAAATTTGCGGGACTTTACCTCCAGACACGCGTGTCTGGAGGTAAAGTCCCGCAAATTTTGGCTTCACGAAATTATCAGAAGGTAGCGTTCCAGTTATATTTAGTTCACTGGTACAACCAGTGACGTCACGCGCTGTTTTCACTCGGGTCCAGACCCCGGGACAAAAAATAGCCAAATTGCTGAACTTTGTAGCTTAAAAAATCCACTTTAAAGAATCGCGGGGCGAAAATAAAATGCAGTATGATATTCAGCGTACTTTAAACTATAAAATCAACACAATTTCAGAAAAAATTTTCAGCCGTTTCATAAACACTTTAAAATAAACTTTGTCTAAACCGAGAAAATCAAAGCTAAAGTTTATGTAAATTAACATGATTTTTTATCACATATAAAACCACGACACGCTTATGATTTTTCTTTGTGTTTTGCTCCTGAATTATTAATGAGTTTTTCTGGTCTAATTACTCACGTGTGCGTGCGTGTGTGTGTGTAGGTATGCGAATTTATATATTTATCAACTTCGTTCATATATATTAATATTTTTGTTATTGTTATAGATTGTAATGACTTATTTAGTTATTTACCCATGTATTCTATGTACCAATATTGAGACTTTGATTGAAAAAGTTATTATTATTATATTTCTTTTCCTCATGAATTATTAATGAGTTTTTAAACTACGTTAAAAAACTCATTAATGATTCATGAGGAAAATACAAAAGAAAGGAATGTTTAATTAAACAATGTTTGTAATTTGGATAAAGATTTGTCCTGATTTACATAAACTTCAGCTTTGATTTCCTCGGCTTAGACAATGTTTATTCTTAAAATTACTTCGCCAATGAACTCATAAGATGGATCGGTTGCACATGCATGTTTTAACTAGTACTTATCAATCCCTTGCGGAGATTGCCCTACATGGAACTACATTGGTGAAACGACGTTCATTCGAAACAAGAAAGAAAGAACATATTCGGAATCGTTAACAATGATGGGGGGGGGGATCTTCTTTTCCCGCCAGCCGCCTAATATTTCTATGCTGATAGCCTGATATTAATCTGATTTATTTCATTTTCAGGTTACTTTTAAAAAGAAAAAAGAATAAACTTGAAAATGGTAAAAGCCACTAAAGTAAAGTAATTATACTATAGTAAAAGGAATATAAATAGGAAATTAACTATTTGTTGTACACTGTATGTGCATGAGGGAAGTAGAAAAATATATCATTCTTGATCATATTTTCCGTGTGATATTATTGGTTATATTTTCATTTGCTCAGGTACAAATATATTCATTTGTTTTGGTGAATCGTGCAGTCTGGCTAGCTGGCGCGGATATCGTAGGATTTTCCCGTATTACCATGATATAGGCAGCCCAATGGCTAAGCGTGTCAAATATTTGACTACAATATTCAAATTTTTAGTAAAACTGTTCCTGCCTTGCTAAATTAAATATGGCGTCCGGAAACGCAATAAATGTCCAGATAACAATGAAATTCTGGACTCCTGGTTACGGCCGACGTCACAGTAATTAGTTCCGTTTATTCCTATATTTTAGGAATAAATTAAAGATGCGGCTATCTCCCTCCCCTTGATACCCCGACCCTAAAATGACTTAATCTCTATCCTTTGGCTCTAGAGGAAAATATCAAATATTTGTCTTGCTGCACAGTAAGGGTTTGGACCTGTTTAGTAAGTGGTTATTATTTAGTAATATAAGTGGTTATTATTTGTACAAGTTCGACAATTCTTTGTCATAGACATGTGCTGGTATTTCAATTCTTTTTCAGAGACAATAAATGTGTTGGTATTTCAATTATTTGTGATAGACCTGTACTGGTATTTCAATTCTTTGTCATAACATGTGCTGGTATTTCAATTATTTGTCATAGACAAGTTCTGGTATTTCAATTATTTGTCATAGACATGTGCTGGTATTTGAATTCTTTGTCAGAGACATGCGCTGGAGTCTTAATTCTTTGTCATTGACATGTGCTGGTATTTCAATTCTTTGTGAAAGACATGTGCTAGTATTTAAATTCTTTGTCAGAGACATGCGCTGTTGTTTCAATTCTTTGTCAGAGACTGTTGAGTTCAATATAAAACTGTATGTTATCCAAATATTAGTATGACGTAATACTGAGAGACAAATGCATGATGGGATAGTTGTGTTGTTAGTTGAACTTCCTCGTGAAAGTAACTTACTGTACAAAACTACATTTGTAATAAACGTGAAAATAAAGAGTGATTTCATTACAAATACGGTGTTCTAAAGTCATGGCTTCAACAGGTTATGGGCCCAGCAGAGAATCACGCTGGTCAAGGTTGACTTTCGATGGAAACGAAAGCAATTACGAACTGTGGGAAGCGAAATTCCTCGCGCACATGAGGTTATTAAAACTAAAGGATACTATCCTGCCGCAGTGATGTAAGTACTCGTTACTAAAGTAACGCGTTACTAATTACTAATTACTTTTTGGGTAATTTTTCGTTAATTAATTACTTTTTGCACGAAAGTAATTTGTAACGTAATCAATTACTTTTTGAAGGTAACGAGTAACATTTTAAAAAAGTAATTTGCGTTACTTTATTATTTTCCAAAAAAATTGAGCGCAAAAATGAAAAATAGAAATGCCTGCAGTGTTGCTGACCAGCGTCAGGATTGCAAAATAACACAGTTGATTACACTTCATGGCATTGCAATCAATGCAATGTTGTGTCGCCTTGCTGGTTGGAAACAACATGAATATGAATGAAGTTTATCGTTGAAGCGGAAAATGAAACCAGTGAATCGATATCTAGTGATATAACTGATATTGGCACAGAAACAGTGAAAGAAGGCAACTTGAATGTTAATCCGTGGCCACGACTCGAGGAATTGTTTACTTTTTCGTCTCAATCGTCTGACAAGGAGAATTTACTTTTCAAGTGCGAATTATGCCCACCATAAAAAAAGCCATTTTCGATTTACAAAACGTCGCATTCGAATCTTCGACAAAAATGGGCAACAAATGTTCTTTAATCTTAGCTCTCACTTTGTGACTGAAATCGGTTAGCTGACGACCATTTTGAGTCGGCACTACTTTTAAAGCTAAACTCCAAGTTTAATACTGTTGCATAAGTCTTAACTCTTAACTTTGGAACTGCCTTTTGAATTAACATTTTGTTGTTGTTTAAGTCCATGAAAACTTGAAAGTAATTTCAAAGTAATTAGTAATTAATTACTTTTTAAAAAAGTAATTAGTAATCGGTAATTAATTATATTTGAAAGACAGTAATAAGTAATTAGGAATAATTACTTTTTTGGAGAAGTAATTGTAATTTTACTCGTTACTTTTTTCTGGTAATTTTCACATCACTGTTTGTACCACCATTTCTAATGTAAACACATGGGTCAGCAAGGTAATCATGTAGCATGTTGTTCCAATTGCGTCCACTCTGCTTAAGGCCGTACAAAGACTTATTTAATTTGCACACCAACCTCTCACCATTTTGTCCTACCCTTTCGTAGCCTTCTGGCTGTTCTATGAAAATCTCACAGTCTACTGGGCCGGGGCATTTAAATAGGCTGTTTTTACGTCCATCTGGTGAACAAGCATATCATTCTGAATTGCCTGCTGTAATAAAACACGAATAGAGCTCATCCGAGCGGTTGGGGAAAAGGTTTCATGGTAATCAATACCAGGAATCTGCGAGTAGCCTTTTGCTACATAACGAGCTTTGTATGTTTCAGCCTTATCTGGTCCTGTCTTAACGGTATACACCCATTTTCCCTCCACTACCTCACGGCCCTTTGGTGGTGGGGCCAACTCGAAAGTTTCATTGCCCTCTAAGGCCTCAATTTCATCATCCATGGCTTTTTCCCATTTATTTCTTTCAGGAGAATGTACTGCTTGGGAATAGCTAGTTGGAATGTCATGGGTTCTATAGCAATAATCAACTGCACATGTTGCTGCATCATCAACAACCTTACCAGTTACATATTCGTTCAAATATGTTGGCTTAGTACGAGTTCGACTAGGGTACCGTACTTCATCAGGCACAGTTTCAGTGCCATTTGCACTTTCATCCCCTTGTGTTGATATTACACTCTTATTGGCAATAGGTACAGACACTTTACTGGGCAGAAATTCCCCTTCCTGTTCATCAGGATTAACCTTAGATTCATGGTTGCTCTCATTGAACACCTTGCACGTTCAACCTTATTGGAATCAGGATAAAAGATAAGATATGCAGGACTTCTTTTATCATATCCCACAAATATACCCTGTTTACTTCTAGGATCTAATTTCTTTGCATTTTGCACATATGCGTAACAAACGGAACCAAAGACATGCATATTGCTCAAATCTGGTTTAGACCCTGTAAATGCCCAATCTCGCATTGAAGCAACGATTTCTGATGTAGGCTGCTGCCACAACAGCATAAGTCCATATGGACTTTGGCAAGTTTGCCTCAAGCAACAAACATCTAGCCATATTAAAAAGACTCAACCATGCTCTTTCCACCGTTCCATTCTGATGTGGGGAATATGGTGCACTAGTCTCATGCCTTATCCTATTTTCTCGAAGAATAGATTTGAATTTGTGACTAGTGAATTCTGTGCCATTGTCACTCCTGACACGCTTAACCCTCCCAAAAGGAGCAGCATCAGCCAAGAATTGCTGTAATGCTTCTGGGGTATTACTCTTACATTTTAGAAAATAGACCATAATAATCCCTGAATAGTCATCAACGAATGACAAAGCATACCTAAAGCCATCTCTTCCTACAGGATCAAGCCAGGTCACAATGCACAAAATCTAATGGAGCAGTTGCTCTTTCATCTGGGGATCTATTCCTAAATTGGCACATCTTACCTTTAGTGCAAACAGTACACTCTACCTCATCATAGTTGGAAATATTCATCCCCTCTACAACATTTTCCAATTTCTGAACATCACCATAATTACAGTGACCAAGGATTTTATGCCATTCATGCAGAGAACATGCACTATTCTTAGAGGATGAAATACTATTTAAATAATATAACCTACCTTTTTGATCCATTCCAAACGTTGTGCCATCAGGACATTTGAGCTGTTTCACCTGCTTATCTAAACTAATACTGGCCCCCCTTTCTATCGCAGCATGCACTGAAAAAATATTTTGATCATAGGACGGAACATACAATGCGCTATTTAACATTACGTCACGTGCATTACCATTGACATCATAAAGTTTAACTTTGGCATTTCCTTTTCCTAATACTACGTTGGCTTTACTGCCATCAGCGAGTTCTATGACATGCGCACTAGGATTAAATTCTTTATCAAAGTCCACAAATTTTGATTTGTCATTTATAATGTTACTTGTGGCTCCAGTATCTACTAATAAACTGGAATTACTCTTATTATTTATACCCGACTTATTAATTGTGTCCTTGGATGTAAAGGCAAACGTATGTTCATTGTTCTCACTTGACGTTGTCTTCTCGGCTGCTGTCTTCGCCGCATCTTTCTTCTTCCGGCAATTCTTTGTCTCGTGGGTTTTACTTTTACAGTTGCTACACCATCTTTCCGATGTCTTCGACCAACACTCCGCGCTTTTATGTCCCTTTCTCCCGCATTTAAAACAGTTCCCATATACTTTTGCTTCGTCAACATGATATTCTCCCCCGCGCTGGCAGCCTTCCCATCATGTGTCTTTGCGCTTTCCTCGTGGCTTCGCAGCGCGCTCTTGAATTCGGCGAAAGTCATTTGTTTCTCTCTTTGCATAACTACCGTGGCAAACGTGTGGTATTCCCTCGGTAAGCCTTTCAAAACCATCGCGATTAACAATGCGTCGCTGATAGCTTCCTCGGCATTTCGTAACGCTGTCGCAAATGACTCGGCTCGTATGACATAATCGACTATTGGCTCGTTCTCTTCTTTCTTTAGCGATGTCAGTTCGGTATAAAGCGAAATTATACGTGGCTTTCCCTTCCCTTGGTAGTGCTGTCCGGAGAATTTCTAGTGCTTTCCTCCCGTCGTCTCTCGCGTCTCGTATCACTAGCGATAAACTTCTATCGTCCAGACATTGCACGAGTTCGGCAAAAGCATCAGCTTGCGTCGAAGCGTCTGGTGGGTCTTTCTCGCTTGCGTCTCGCACGAATACTTTATATAGCTTTTGTAGCCGCATATAGCCCAGGAACTTTACTTCCCACAACTCATATTTGCTTTCGTTACCGTCGAATAGCAAGCCTCTCCTGGGCCCATAACCTGTTGAGTTCGTTGTAGTTGTCATTATTATATAATTGTCATTCTTTATTACAAGAGATACACACTCTGTGGAAGCATACAAGAACTAAGTTTTATTTTACATCAAGTGCGTTTATGTTACAATGTGCTAAATTACAATTGGTCAGAATAATTATTAATCATGCTATATCATTGAACTAAAATATATGGAAGGTAGCGACCTGCAGCCGGAAGTTTGAAGCCGCGATTTCCGGTTAGAACCAAGTCTTTCCTCGCGATAAATACGCGCGGCCAAAACACAAGCATTTAAATTGTTTTAAAATATCAATCATGTCGCTGCCGAAAGATGTTTTTTATTGAATAAACTTTGTCTTTTTTTAATAAAGTTCATGAAGACTATGTCTAGTTTTTATTTAGAATTTACACTTTTGTTATTTGTTTTGTTTTTCGAAATGCCAAGTGAGCAGAATCCAAAGAAGTTAAACCTAGTTTTGTCCCTGAGTGCGGAAAAATAAATCCTTCGTATGTACTTTTGAACTACCTTTAAACATGACAATGACAACCCTTATGAGGCATGAATGAGAAATAAAAAGAAATAGATAGCAATAATTACAAATACACAAGTTTTTTTACATATTAAACATCTTATCACGAATCAAATTGCCAGGTAACAGCTCCCTCCAGCGGAAAACTCAGAGCGCATTTTAACACTGTCAATTGAAGATGTAGAACAATTTCCACTGCAAAAAAGTCATTTTTATTGATATACATAGGTATTCAGTTATTTAATCAAACATGCCAGTCGGATGTGTCATACGTGGGTGTACCAGTGATGCACACTCTTCTGCGGAAGCTATTGCATTTCACAGGTATTTATTTTTTGTTTACTTTACTAAAATTTCACAGGTATTTATTTATTGTTTACTTTACTAAAAATTAACATTTCACAGGTATTTATTTATTTTTTGTTTACTTTACTAAAAATAAACATTGTTTCCTTCCAAGGTCCCCAAGGTGGGCAAACGGAGAAACAATGTTTCCGCAACAAAAATCTTACTAGGGAAACGTCAAATGTTTCTGAACTTGATAGGAAACATTCTTGTTTCCCGGGAAGCAAAACTTGTTTCCGCAACAATGTTTCCATGGGTGGGCAAATGGGAAAACATTCAAGGAAACATTGAGAATCACAAATGTTTCTGCAACAATGTTTCCTAGTTTGCCCAGGGCTTAAGTATACACACAAAAAACAAACATAAACCTGTGATATTAGATACTTCAAAGAAAATATAACAAAAACAAGTCTATTTTTACACATTTTCACTTTTGACATGACTGTGTACATCACCTACAACAAAAAAACAAAAATAAATAAGACAAGCAAACAGACAGAAGGGTGAAAATAAAGCTGAATTCACATAAAAATTATAATTATTGTTATAGATTTCCTTTGAAAAATAATGCTTTACTAAAATGTTGGGAGAATTATGTTGAAAAAGTTAATAAAAAGCCATGGCAAGTCAACCGGTACAGTCGTATATGCAGCAAGCATTTCCAATCAACTGATTATATCTTGCCTCCTTCATCCAACAACACATGCAGACTCAAAAAATATGCTTTTCCATCTGGTTCACCTGTACATTCTGACCCACCAACATTAACAGCACATGATGAGGAATTAAACAGAAGAATAAACAAGAGACCATGTCCAGCCTATGAAAATGATGCTTCAATTCCAGAAAAAAGACCAAGATTTGCCTCAAGTGATGAAAGAGATGAATTACACACAAAATTACAGCAAAAAATACGTACACTACAGCAAAAGCTAAGAAGAACCAAGAAGAAGATGAACACCATGCATGACGTTATTCAATTCCTAGAAGAAAAATTAGTGTTAAATCCCAAAGAATCCGAAGCTCTGCTGTCCACCCTCAACAACACTCAACTCAAATTTCTCTACAACTTCCAAGACAACATCAAGTCTGCCCCATCAGCAAGAAGATACAGTGACGAAATTAAAGAATTCGCATTGACATTGTATTTCTATTCTCCCAGGGCATATAAATATGTCAGGTCTTTGGTTCCACTCCCCAATCCATCACTGATTAGAAAGTGGTCTTCCTCATTCAAGTGTGATCCAGGCTTTATCGATGAGGCATTCACATCCCTTTCTCAGAAGGTAGCTCAATCAAGTAATGACAAAGATTGCTGTTTGGTAATAGACGCAATGTCTATCCGAAAACAAACCATCTGGAATCCAGAAAAAGACTCGTACTCAGGATTTGTAGACTTTGGAAATGAGATTCCTAATGAACATCCAGAAAAATTGGCCACAGAAGCTTTGGTTTTTCTTCTGGTAGGTACCAGAAGTCATTGGAAATGTCCAGTGGGATACTTCTTGGCTGATAAAATGAATGCAAAGGACCAAGCCACACTGGTAAAAAAATGTCTTGAAAAAGCTGCAAATGCTGATCTAAAAGTGTGGTCAGTAACAGCTGATGGCACAGCTGTTAACATTAGTACATTCGAAACACTAGGTTGCAAATTTTCTGGCAACTATGAATCCATCGAAAGCTCTTTTAAGAATCCAACAACCAAAGAAGATGTCTTTGTGATACTCGATCCCTGTCATATGCTCAAATTGGCTAGGAATGCACTAGCAGATATGGGATCCTTTGTTGATGGAGATGGCAACATCATAAGATGGAAACATATCGAAGAGCTTCAGAATGTTCAAGAACAAGAAGGGTTGAACCTGGCAAACAAACTGTCCTCAAATCACATACAATTTCAAAGTCATAAAATGAAAGTGAGTCTTGCGGCACAAACTTTAAGTTGCTCTGTTGCAGATGCGATTGAGTTTTTGGACTTGACACATAATTTGTCTAGCAACAGCAAAGGAACAACAACATTTATTCGAACAATCGATCAACTGTTTGATATGTTGAATTCCCGTAATCCAATAGGAAAAGGTTTCAAAAAGCCACTTAGACCATGTGACAAAGAAAAATGGCAGGCAACCTTTTCATCCATAGCAGAGTACCTCCAGAAGTTGAAAACAAATGCACCACAGCCTCGACTGCTTTCTCAGACAAAACGAAAAACATTTATAATTGGATTCATTGCTTGCATAAAATCAACTATTTCAATGGCTAACCAAATGTTTGAACTGACCACCAAACCTAAACCTTTCAATTATTTATTAACTTATAAATACTCTCAGGATCATCTTGAACTTCTATTTTCATGTATACGTTCCAGAGGAGGCTGGAATAACAATCCAAATTGCCTGCAGATGAAGTATGCTCTACGAAAAATGCTAATGCAAAACGCTATCACTGCATCAAAGAATGCGAATTGTATTGATTTCACAGGATGCAGTAATATTATTCCTATCTTTCACACAAGAAAGCATCAAAAGAAAACCACTGAAGAACAGTCACAAAATAAAGAAGGCAGTTCAAATTCCAGTGAGGAAAATGAGATAAACCTTATGTATGAACATTTGGCATTTCAAGAACATAGTGAATTCATTCAAAATGTTTTGTTTTATATCTCTGGGTACATTGTGTCAAAACTCATGGACAAACTGTCTTGTTCAGAGTGCAAAAAATGCCTGGTGCCTCTGCCTACACAGCTGCCAATCAATGGACATGACTATACTGCAAGTTTATATCATGAATGTGGAAAGGCATCATCTTTTACAACTTTTGTGAATAAAGGTGGTTTGCAGATACCGTCAACATCCGTTTTTAGAACAATTCAGTACTGCGAACATATTTTTAGGTCAACTATAACAGGAGAAAACAGCCAGTACATTAGTCACGAATCCAATTTGAAGAAAAAAATGATTATCCAAGTGTGCCAACATTTCTCCCTTGATTCCACCAAAGAACTATTCCCGTATCACGAAGAAGGACTTAACGAGATGTTACTCGAAGATGACCATAGAACAAAATTGACCAAATGTGTGGCAGACAAATACTTAACGCTGCGGTTGTTCACGTATGGGAAGAAATACACGAAGGAAATTGCAAACAAAGGCAATCAAAGTATCAGACATAAGTTTAATAAACTGATTTTGTTCAAGAACCAATAAGTATTTAAATTTCACGTTCATGAATGTTTAATAATAAATTTTAATATATTAATATAAAAGGCACTTACGTGTTTACAACTTTAGAATCTCCGATCCATGTCGTTGGTGTACACATTCAATTTGACATTCAATTTGAACGAAAAAATATTTAATTTCCCCCGATATACCGATCGAATACATGTATGAAAAGTTATGATTCGTACTCATGTATTGAATCAAAATTTAACAAGAGTACGTACGCCTTCCTTGGCAATCACATGTTGCTGTAATGCATCGCTGTTCTTCGGCGCCACGCAGGAAACGCGACAACGCGCGGGAATTTTACCTCCAGACACGCGTGTCTGGAGGTAAAATCTGGCTTCAGGCAAGTCTGGGCATGTTCAGTTAAGGTAGCGTTCCATATATTTTAGTTCAATGGGAGGATGTTACAGTACTCGTCGAAGAGAATCTAGCTTCAGTTCTCCATAGGAGAAAACGTGCAAGGTCGGTGGATAGAGTCAATCTTCTTACAAACGAGTGAGGCAAAATTCAGACAACAGCATGTTAATTACTGGGATAATTGTGTTGTACATCCTTACAGAGCAGCATATGGTGGTCTACTTCAGAAATGTTGACGCTTATAGGACCAAGAAAATTCAACTAAATATCCCAAAATTTGAAGAAAGAGAGAAAAGAAAACTAAGAACGAAAACAAGAAAGAAAACAAAACTATATCTTTTAGTTCCATTTACTGGCCTTTGATACAGGAAAGCTGCAGGTTGGCCACCATTTGCTGCGTGATAGTACATTATGCTCAGGGAAACCCACCAATTTACACCCACGTTTTATCTAACTACGAGCTATACAAATTTGTTGATGGTAATTGGCGTTACATTTATCCGCTTTCAGCTGGTTTGCGGTCGCTATTCTTCTAGTCTACATGGGGATCGTGATGGTGATTCTGTTAAACGTTCTCATCGCCCAACTCAGCTATACGTTCGGTGAATCAATGAAGATGGCAAGACTGCAATACGCTGCTGATAATATGCGAATTATCACTCGTACGGAGAACAGTCGATTCCCGTGTTTGGTAAGCGAAACCCATTGAACTCCGTATATAATCTGGAGTCAGAACTTCTCAAGTAATTCGCTATGTTTTTATTGAAGAATTTCAGAGTTAAGAATTATATTGAAGGTGACTATATCAGTGAGGAAGACTTGGCGAAAGGTACTTGCAAGGATCGGATATTACTGTATTTTGTAGTGTTATCTAAGACTTGAGCCTGTAGTTAGTGTGTCAGTGTTTACCTTTTGAATCGCTCCAGTCCAGATAGACAAATGGGTCAATATACTAATTGGTAATGGTTTGTCAAGCTATTCCGTTGCTCTATTTCCTAAATGCTTGTCTTTTTTGAAGAATTATTAGAGTTCACGGAAGACAGGCATCCTTGGGAGACAGCGGAAGAGAGGATTATCGGTGTGAGGTATTTCCGCTTTACAATTCTACATGCAGAACACTTCCTTGAGTTCTTGCATTAACATTATATGCGGTGTTTGGTCCGTACATATTTTAAGATTTTCAATTATATACTTCCATTGTATAATATTTTCTGCTTCCAGAGAGACTATGCGAAGAGTAGTGAAAGGCGAAGAAACGGATCCTTGGGAAACTATTGACGAAAAACTAACTACTCTGACGTGAGTAAATTTGGCGATACTACTATTACGTAAAATGAAAAAACTGATCATTATTTTCTTACTTTGAAAACTGTAGGTTGACCATCATTTACCGCATGGCAGTGCTTAGTGAAACCCATCTTTATTTTAACAAAATCTCTAACAATTTATGTACATTGATTGATTTAGTTTATCGGAAAAGGAAACAAGAGAATCCATTTATGAAAAACTGACGTGAGTAGATATAATCTTTGATTTATATTTCAGACAAAAAAACCCAACGCATTTATCTCGTATATGTTACAACAACGCATTTCTGAAATTTTACTTTTGCCGTTTGTCTTTACATACAAATTGTGTAATAGTGCATGTACTTCCCAAATTAAACGGAAAGCCTGCGGACAGTATAATCAGTTGTAAATGGGCAGTTTTGCATTGCCAGCAAGCTAATACAGTACGGGTTATGGGTACGTGAAGATGATGAATTTATGAACTATAAATAACTTAATTGTTTTTTGTTTGTGGAAACACCACGTAAATTTATTACTGCATATTTAAATTTATTATTATTTATTACTGCATTTTTAAATTTATTATTTATTCTTTACGTGGTGTTTCCACAAACAAAAAACAATTATATTTTATCGCCATGCAAACATTCAAAGAACTTATAAATAACTTGTTTAGCGATACGATCTGTTAGGCGATACTTGAATAAGCTGGAAAAAATGCTGTCCAAAAAACTGTTTTTCAACTTGCGATGAAAAGTAGACTTGAATTTCAGCCATCTAGTCTTGACTTGCATGCAAGGCCAATGGGGAGCTTAAGCAAGCGACGTTTTTGTCAACACGGACGTTGGATTGCCGAGAGGGGACTGGATTAAAAACTGTGTTTGTGTCAGTTAGTGGTAATCTTCGACACATATGACAAAATATACAATTTTTAAAGTATTTCGTTTCTTTACACGAGCGCTATGCATAGATATCTTATATACACTAGATAGCGCATCTCTTTTAGTAAAATTGAAGCCAAGAATAATAGAATATTCCAGCGGTTACCCCCATTTGAATAGATGGCGGCCATGTTGGAATTTCCCACTCGCTAAAAAACGCATAAAAAACAACAATAACTTTCATCAATTGAATAGTTTGAAAATGTATTTGGAATAGGTTTAACTTAATGTTTAAGTTCCCTGTTTAAGAAATAGAAAACATACGAGTCTTCTCATTTCATGGGAATATCCTGAGTCTGCAATCACGGCTTCAATTTTTGAATTACAGAATAATTAGATGCACTATCTAGTGTATATAAGATATCTATGGCGCTATGATGCAAAATGCCGCCAAAATTAGTTATACTAATTTTCGGGTGACGTCCGTGCAGACAAAAACGTCGCCTGCCTTAAGCTCACTAATAAACCACTTCCGATTTACTTCTAAACAGACGCTCAGTGCAAGATTCAATACTAAATGAACCTAATTCGGTAAAGGTCTATTAGCATGCAGTTTTTATTCGTGCAGATAAATGTAGAGCTCAGTGCTCTGCACACCAGAGGCGAGGTGAAAGACCCATACACTTAGGGGCTGTTTACATGAGCCCGGTTTGCTGGGTTGGCCCGCTTAAATGGGGCGCCCGGCTTCATAGTAATTTCCAACACAAAACAATTTTAGTTTACATGACAACCGAGCCAGCCCGGTTAGCCCCAATGGGATCTCACTTGACTCAAACGGGGCGCCCGGACAGCCGGGCTGAAATTTCTCCATGTGAAGTATCCAGCCCGGGCAACCGGGCTAGAACAAAAACTTCATTTAAAATGAAATAAAATAAAAATAAAAGACAGAAACTGATATTTTTCTTGATAAAGTTTTATTTCTTCAATTAATCTTGCCGACAAAGTAGTTTTAATCGATTAAATTTGCCAATAAAGCACAAATTCGACTCCCGTGACAGACGTTACACTGTTAACTCGTAAACAAGTTTTTCCCGCCAAACCAAGTTTTTCCAGCCCGGCAAACGTCTCATCCCGGCTAGCCGGGCTCATGTAAACAGCCCCTTAAACACGATGCTACACCACCATCACCTGTAATATTTCATTAATTTCCGTCATTTTAGAGCGATATTGAGAAGACTGCCGGAGTCACGGTGATACACATGGTAGACGATGACTATATATAAGGTTTCTTCACAAGCTAATAGAGCGCCCACTAGCGGCATCATTTCGTAGGAAAATCTTTTACCCGCTTGTTTATATTTATATAATTATAGAGTAATTAATATCTTACTGATGTATAGTAATTCGTAAATTCATATCTAATAGCTAGGTAATTATAGTACAGTATATTGTAGATGAAGAGCCAATTTGTGAAAATGCTACGATACATTCATTATTGTTATGTTGTTATCATGTTAACTTTGTTCTTCACACCATTAGTTGGTAGGTGCTAATTAGCCTGGAACATCAAGCTATTTCCCATGGCCTCAGATGTCTAAAGTCCTACGCAAAATCCTCGCTGTTCCTAAGACGTAAGATTGAAGTTCTTGCAAACGTCCCAATGGATAACCTCAGCTACCTTATGTCTCCAGTTCTTGTATTGGTTTTGAGCAAGCTTCTTAAGCTACGGATACACGAGCAATACTTTTCTGGCGATGGCAATGCAATGGTGGTAAAATCGTGAAATTGCTTGTGTATCATGCTCTGCGACGGCAACGCAAAGCTGGGCGTAATCGTTGCCGAAATTTCAAATCATTTGATTTTCGGCAATGATTGCCGAAAATTGGGAGGTGTGGTCAAGGAAGGTCAAGGTTGATGAATGACATGTTTCTTGACCAGCCAATGAAAAGCGTTATAAAGACATATATTGCAGGCGAAATATTGCAGGTGTAGCCACCTTGTGCGACGGCAACGCAATGCTGTTATCAACCATTGCGTAACCATCGCAGCAAAAATATTGCTCGTGTATCCGAAGCTTTACACTCAGCCGTTATGTGGCTCACAGTTTCCTCCCTTTCTCCTCACATACATACATACATACTTTATTGTGTTCCCTAAATAGGGATTTTCAACACTGATTTACAAAAAATAAATGTTGTTCTATTTACAAGTTTTAGAATCTAGAATTTAAATTAAGGTAAAAAGGTAAGACATTTGTATAAAATTTAACAAGGTAAAATTATCTACTTATATATTTGTTCTAGCATGCTTCGCTTCAGTTCGTTTTTGAAAGTTTTTAGGGAGTCTAACTTTTTGTACTTTATGTCCAAATCATTCCAGAGGGTAACGCCTCTATAATGAAAGGACCTTT